AGATAGTTAGAAAAAATAAGGAATACTATGTGAAAGGGGGCAATAGGCTATTTGGTAGTAGAGTAATGGTAGTAGAAGATTTGAAAAAGTTTCCTGTAAGGGCAGGCCTTTGCACTCAGCTTTAAACATTTCTATGGAGAAGAGAAAAGTGAAAGCACACAAGCATGAAAACTAGAGTAAAAAAAAGTCAGATTGAATGATATGGGATTATTTGGGGGACAGAGAGTTGCCAAATTTGTCTGGATTACAGTGTGGAAGGTGGGAATACAAGTATATGAATGGCAGGAAATACATATGGCTGCTATCATCAAGGCTTTTGGTAGAACTGTAAGAATAAAGCACAAAACGGATACTTTCTTGCCTACCTTTTTATACTCTCTTTCTACCTCATGGACTTCCTGTCTGTTTCTTCCTAAGTCCAAGGAATCCTTTACTATCCTTTCATTGTCCATCATTCCATATGGGTATTGTCCCAAGTACTAAATTTTGTTTTCCTTCCTTGTTTCCCTCTCAGTATGTTCTCTCAACATGAACAAAGATTTATTAAGTGCCAACTGTATGTACAACACAGCCCCAAATATTAGCAGATTATCTGATTAAAATAATTCAGATGAAGGTGTGAAACACATTGCTTAATTTCTTTAGAGGGTATTTGCATTTTAAAGGGGACATTTACTAACCTAAATGAATTTCCTGTTAGTGGAATAAAGTGTGCATGCTAGGAGTTGTTCTGGGGAGATGTTTTAGAGCAGACAATAGCTGTTTATTTAATTTAATTGATTTCCTGGGAGACAGATATATGTAAGGGGCTAGATGGTTCAATTGATAGAGTGCTGGGTTTGAAATCAGGAAGACTTATCTTCCTAAGTTCAAATCTACCCTCAGTGTGACCCTGGGCAAATCACTAACCTCTGTTTGCCTCAGTTCCTCATCTGTAAGATGAGCTGGAAAAGGAAATGCCAAACCAGTCTAGTATCTTTGCCAAGAAGATCCCAAAGAACTGAAATGACTGAAGAACAACAACAAAATGTATATATCAGAGCCCTGTTTTGCAGAGAGACAGAGACAGAGACACACGGAAAGAAAGAAAAAAGAAGAGAGAAATGGACCAGATAATGTTAAAATAAAATTTTCTTGCACCAATCTTTGGGATTGTTTGAAAAAAAAATGAACTAGTGCTTTGGAAGTCCTGTGCAATATTACTGTAAAGGGATTTGATCTCTAATATAATAATGAATATTCAGCCAAACTCATACACTTAAATCATTGGTAAATTGGGAAAAAATTGGAAGAAAGAGGGTGCGTTAAAAAAAAAAGACATGTCCAGTCTCTTTATAAAGTTAAGGTGACTCCACCTAGCCCTGTCTACTGACAGTAGTTACATTTATTGCCAAAGGCGCAAATGTGTCTTGGTTAAGCAGAACATAGTGTTAATCACAATTGAAGCATGGATGATGAAAAAAAAAATAACTACTACCTAGAGGCAAACAAAAACCACAAACCAACCCATTTACCTGTTAAAACTTGTGAGAATTTTCAGTAGTAGACCAAATAATACAATTACCAACTATGTCTCTATCCCCAGTGAAATATTTGAAGAGGCAGAAGGGGAAAGTAATAATTTGCTTCAATACTACAGACTGGAAGGTGTTTAGATAGCCCTTGCGATCACAAATCAGAATGCTGAAATCATGATTAACAGTAAATTAATGGAACACATAATTTATTAGCCCTCATTTTTGGTTCTCTGGCTAAAGATGGCTGAAAAGTATCTGGTAGGGCTCACTAAACACCCTTTTCCTACCCCTGTTGCCCAAATTTGGACAAGTGGGAAAAAACAGAGAGATAGGAAAGAATGGGGAAAATCACAAAATCCACCTTTCTCTCTTTCCTTAGTATTGTGACCTTCAGTTTATTTATTCATTTAAGAGCTCTGACCACTTGAGAGAGTTGTTTGAGAGTTTTTCAAGGGGCAAGAAGGTAGCTGTCTTTCTCCAGGGAAAGTGACATTTTCTTGTTTTCCAAGGTTACAGTTATTCCTTGGTGCTTTTAATGGCAGCATTCACCACTGTGAAGCAGTTACTTGCTAGTGGGTAGGTGCTCTCCTCAGCCCTCTTAATGCTTCCATTAACTACATTAGCCACAGGGGTCCCCACAGCCGAACCCTTAGACTACAATCCAACTCTGAAAACTTTGAGGATTACAACAGTACAAGATAAAGGAGAAGAACCACATCTCCAGTTTGATCTCACCCCTGCCTCTCCTGCCACCAGACCCATTACACACATATAGTATTTCATGCAGCATTTTAGGAGGGGCATAACTAAAAATCACCAAGATGGAAATTACAGTATTTTTACATAAATTGAAATCCAGTATAAACTATTTAATAATTTTGAGGTTAAGTTTTAAATTCTATGTGAAGATTTTAATAGTTTGTTGTTTCTTTTAAAAAAAAATTACTAGCTACAGGTAATGTTATAAGCCCTAGGATACGTGAAAGTTTTGGGCTTATTTTGTTTTGTTTTGTTTGAGACTGAGTCTTCCTATCTTGCCCAGGCTGGAAGTGTGGAGGTCATTACTGGCCTGATTCCATTACTAATTGGCATGAGAGGTTTGATAGTTTCCAACTTGAACCAGTTTGTCTCTCCTCAGGCAGCCTGGTGACCCCTTGCCCTTATCTCGCCTTCCCCCACACACTCCCAGGTGCTAACTATTTTGCTACTGGATTTTGTGTAGGCACTCCATTACCTTAGGACACCTCAGTTCAGAACTCCAGAGCTCACAGGGTCCACCAGCCTTAGTCTCCTTTTATGGGCATGATAGGTATGCCCAATCACACCTAGTTTGAAGGTTAATTCTAACATAATGTCAACAAATCCAGTCATGCCAGTGCTGCAGCTGGGTGGGACTAAGTTTTCTATATTCCTCCAGAAGTCTAATTTTATGTCTTTGATCCCTAATCATTCAGGGGATCCTGGAAAATGATCCACTCTTTATCATACTACTGAGTTTAAAAAATGGTAATCAATGTTTTGACTACTATATCAAGGCTAGGGCACATTCATTCTCTCAGCCCTCACACAATGTTATGTTATTCTCATGTTATGTTATGTCTTGTTATGCCAATCCCAGGAACATAAAATGACTATGTGACCTATAGGAGATGGTTAAGAAGGCATAGCTACTGCAGTCACCTGGAATAAAGAGCATCTACTACTTGCTGCTTACTCTTAATGTGGTCACATTGAAGTGGTCACATTCAAAGACTCCTATATAACCTAAAGTGACAATTCACTAGATTAGAACAATTTTGACAAGTAGTGACATTCAATCTGCTAAGAAAATTAGAGAAGATAATGATAGCTAACATTTGCATGGTACTTACTGTGTGCCAGGCAACGTGCTAAACACTTTACAATTATTATCGGATTTGCTTCTCACAACAACCCTGGGAAGTAGATTCTTTTATTATCTACATTTTATAGTTGAGGAAACTGAGGCAAACAGAAGTAATGTGACTTCCCCCAGCTTACCACATAGCTAATAAATGTCCAAGGGTAGAAGAGAGTTCTATCCACTTTGCCATCTAACTGCCTCTGTTAGGAAATGATCCTTAAGGCCCTTCCAGTCCCAAGGCCTGTGATTTAGGAGCTATTTATTTAGCAGAGAAATCTAATGTAAAAGACAAATTAAGCAGATATTGTGAACAGCCTGGATAATGATGACTTTTGACCAATTCTCCAAGGGAAGCTCAAACACTGGGTTTCAGGTCAAAATGGGTACCTAAATCCAGGCCAAAATAAGGTCTGGAGGAATTTAGGGGACCCAATCCAGGTTCAGCCCAGGATGCTAGCCTATTTCAGTAAGTGCCTAGTCCCATGGGTCACTCAGGCTTTCCATCATTCCCATCTCTCTATCCTCTCAAGTTATCCTGGTTCTTCTTGATAACAAAAATTTGGAATGAATCAGTCCTTTTCAAGGTTTTCCAGAATGTCTATCTCAAGAACTTCTCAGAACGGTATATATCTTCCCCTCATTATGCCCTACTTCTGCCCCACTCCAGCCTACATGTGAATTCCTGTAATTGTAGGAAATGAAGGAAATCAGAGTAATCACGTACCTCCCTGAATTCCTCTTCCATGTTAGATCTCTCCTGTTTAAAAAAAAAATTCCCTGAATAATCCCTTTCAGTAATGCAATAATTTCGCACTTGCCTATAAAAGAGGACTATTAAAATAAATGCAGGTGATGAGAGACCCACTGAGCATCATCATCTTTCACGGAGTCAACAACAGTAACCAGTCATGGTAACCTTCTTCAGAGGAACTTACTAAACATTTATAGCTCTTTTCTCATAAACTACTACAGACCTCTATGCAGAATCTGGCATTTTTTTTTTTAAAGTATACACCATTCAGCTACGATGCTTACTTGAGAAGTTCTAGTATATCATACTAGCCGAGATTTTAAAGTTGTTACAGCCCTTTACTATATATATTTTACAACAACCCTGCATCTCTCCACTTCCCCCAGCTCCTGCTCTTTTATTCTATGTATCTCCTTTCTCCTATTTGGTACACAAGATATAATTTTACACAGATATGATTTTAATGATTCCAACAACTAAATTTTCTTCCGTCAATATCACCCCATAGCTCCACATGCTATTGATACCTTACTTTTGGTGCCCCCTTTTTCTCATTATGACTGCTCAATTATTACATGCCTCTCAATGTATCAGACTTTTATTTGTCTTTGTCACACCCCTCTTTCTTTCATTGTCTTTATCTTACGACTGCTTACCTAATTTGCATAGAACTATCTCTTTAATGCATTATGGGTCATATTACTACATTTTACTTCCAATGTCTCCCTTTTGTCAGTCTTAGAGTCACCCTACTATTCTTATCCCATGCATTGTCCACAGTAGCTATTATGATGTCACTTCATCATAGCTTCAGTGGAATGGTCTAACATATCTAAACTGATATAGATTTTCCACCTTCTTGATCTTAAAACATTTCAATTAATTTCAAATGGTATGTTTACTAATAGGTCAAGATTCAAAAGTATAAACCTATTACCTCTAGGACCAAAAGAAATTTTGTCAGTAATTACATAGGTGAAGTTGAAAGGTGTTGTACTAATAGAAAGACATCTCTGATCTCAAGTCCAGATTCCCTAATACACTCATGTCATTGGATTAGCAGTGCACCCACCAAACGAGTCAGTTTGAGGATTGTTGGTAAGTTTCATTGCTGTTTTAATTTAAATTTGAAAACAGATAATTGGTGGAGTTTTGGCCCACCCCACTTATCACTGGAGAAAGAACAATGCCACATTCTCCAGGGGTGACTGAACCTGAGTGTTTCGGGTTCTTCCAAACATCTCAAGTCATTTCCAAATATTTTCAATGCAGCAAAACCCAAAAAGGATTTTGGCAAGTATGTTTTCCCTTCATTTTAAAACCCCTGCGTATTTCAAGGGAAATGTGATCCATATGTCTTTGATTCATTTACACTTAAATCATCTAAATGCCATTGTGTAAGAGCTATTTGATGTACAAGAAGCCTACAAGCCTGTTTTATAAGCCTTTTTAAGCCTTTTTTCTTTCAATCAGAAAGTCATGTTTTGCCGGCCCTAAACAGAACATGAACTGGGAAAGGCTCAAGTTCACTTCAAAACTGAAAACCCGCAAAGTTTTGGGTGGCTTCTGTACTTGGCAATATGTTCCCCCTTGCCTAACGATCACAAACACCCAGCATTTCTCTTCTCTGTTTCACATGTAGTGAGAACAGGGTAAATCAATTTTTGAATCACATTTTACTTGTAAAATTCACATTTTGAACCTCAGTTATCTACCAGGCACTGCCAGAAGTTAAAATAGCAACACTTGAAAATTAGGCTTTTGCTCTAAAAGGGCAAAACAGTCTATAAAGTACATAAATTACTGCTTCTGTACATTTATTTGTTTGACAGGTTTAAGATATAAGTGTGGCTTACATATGGATTTTCAGAATGCCAGATTGGATGCTCTATAAGCTACAGTCACAAATGTAACCTCCTTTTTTTTTTTGAGACTTATGTTTGGGAGAATAGAATTGGAACAATCTTGCTGTTCTGCACAAATCTAATTGCTGTGTCAAAACAGCAAAGGAGCAGGATGAACATTTGCATTTTTCTCATTTATTGGTCTTCTCTATGGCACTTACATTAGTGGTCAAGGAGAAAACAGAACAGGAATCTCGCCTAGAAAGTAGTTTCATTCTTTGTATTGGCATCCCCACAGCATCTAGCACATAGTAGGTACTTAATAACATTATGCTTGCTGATTGATTGATTTCTCCCTGGCCCTTCAAATAGTGGAAACTAAGTGTTTTCCCACATCTTGATTGGTGAATTTGAACCTCCAGTTTGGGGCTTGAAGATAATCAGAAATGATTGACATTCATAACTAGTGACTATGGATCCATTTCTTCCAAATGGACTAGAGTTAGTGAACTGGGGGGCAAATTAATCTATTCTGTTTTTCAAGTACAAATATTTTCAGCTAAAGTTGCCTCCTTGTTTTTGTGTGGAAAGATCTCAGTAGCTGCATTTTAGCTAGAGGGAAATAAGAATGACATGTCTATCTGATGAGAAGTGATATTTGAATTTGCATACAAAAGCTTCCATAATGAAGAGATTCTATATGTATATAAAACCAAAACAAATCTAATTATGTCTTATGTCCTGTCTTACTGGTTCACATAAATGACATGCCCATCTTGTTTGTGTAATCAGAAGAATTATAAATTTAAAGTTGGGGTGTGTGTGTGGAAGAGTTGGGTACTAAATCTAGCAAACAGTTAATTATGCTGAGATAATTAGATAGCAGAAAGTGCTGGATTTTAGCTCTTTTTGGTAGTAGTTTTCATTAACTACCAACTCTTCACGATTCTCGGCAGGCAGAAATGATTAGTATTCTATTCTTAGTTTGACTGACAAAGAATAAGACATTCTGAAAGTTTGATAGAAGACTTTACATTGACCTATTCAAAAATTATCTATTTTTTAAAATAGTCTATTATATTTGTTAAAGTGACCCAATGAAATTTTAAAAGCTAAATTAAATTCAAAAAACATATTATTCAGTTAATCACATCAATACCATAATTTCTGGTATTAATTTAACATACAAAGCAAAGCATTTGATTTTTATTTATGATTTTTCTACTGTTTCACCCAATTGTGTAAGAAGGTATTGATTAGAAGCACACCATAAGTTAATAATTCTGGTTTACCTTATCGAAACTTCAGGTATTTTTGTACATTCAGTATATCCAGAGTTTGGATAACAATTCAAGAATTTAAAACCGACCCTCCCCAATGTATATGGTGTATTTTATGACCTAACCATGTCTTTCTGCTTCTTTCATTGGGAGGATCATGATCAGGAGGGAAGCACAAGCGTATGGCAAACATGGGGCTTCTTTTGCTATCCTAACATTACAAACTGCATGTTCTCAGGGCTCACTGATTTTACCACCTGGGTCTGGCTTAACTTCTTGGTTTTGTTATATTGGTAGAAGTTTCATATTCAGTGGACAACCAGGCATCCCAGAGTAGTCTTTAACTCTAATCATTTGTTGTTATAAAAAGAAATGGAATCTCATGAAAAACCTAGTCTTAAAAGTTTCAGAAATTCCAACTTTCAGCTGATTTTCAAATATTACTTTCACCATCCCAGTATTTGTGATTTTGTTGATTCTGCTTCAGTAGACTTTAGAACCTCAGATACACCTGAAAACTATTTTGAAAGTTAAAAAAAATGCTTTTCAACAAGGAGGGAAAAAAAAAGATTGGCGTTTTAGGCAAAGGATCAGATTAGTTCTTATCTAAATGATTTTGTTCAACCCTCATTTATATGTCCCTATTATATAAAGTGTTATGAACTGAGTAAGCTCCGATGCTATGGAATGGAAGGAAAACACTAAAAAAATTCATTCAAAACAATCTTTAACATTTCTTGTGTAGTTTTTTGGGTATTTTCTTTTTTTTGGTTACCAATATACTTTAAAATCTTGCTTTCAATTTTTTTTTCTCTTCATCTTGAAGGCTGTATAATCTTCAGATTGAGCTTCTCATCTTAAGGTTCCTATATTTGAAATGCACCATTGCTGTCAATATATTAATAATTATTTTTCCTGTAATTTTTCCTTTACATACTATATTCCTGAAAGTATTCTCTGTTGCATCCTGCTTTAGGCCAATCTACAAGGAACAACTCAGTTTACATAACAGGTAAATAAAATTGTGATGATTCGACTCAAATTAATCATTAGACTACATTTCGTACTTTTTCAAGGTGATTCTCTAACATGTAGTAGCTGTGTGATCTTGGGCAAGCCACTTAAGCTTAATGAGTCTCAAGCAATTCTTTAAGACATCAACCAAGTTATAGTTGGAGATATATCATCTACAGGAGGTGGAAAGCTACTACATCAATGAAAGACTAGATCTTTGATACTCTGACTAGGAGGCTATATGGTACAGTGGATAGAACCAGCTCAAGAATCTGAGCACTTTATTTCAAATCATAACTCTTACATATATTACCTGTGTATCCTTGGATAATCAAGTCACTTAATCACTTTGGGCATTACATTACTCACCTGTAAAATGGTGGGGGAGGGGTGGAAGAGATTCCTTTTGAGCTTACTTCTAGCTCTAGGTCCCTAATCCTATGATTTAGTGACAAAATGATTTAGTCATACATTCTTTTAACTGGCAACCTTTCCTAATGTTTCATTTTGGCATTTGGAAAGGTCCATGATCCCATTCATGTAGGCACTTTTTCCATCTGGAAAGACTACTATTCAAAATCACAATTGCCTTCTGATTTGATGTATTTCTTGTCCTATGAGTCGTTGGATTATATATAAAATGTTACAAACTTTCCTCTAAGTCTTCTAACTTGTTTGAGTATGAATGAGACACTTGAGTTGTCCATCAATTATCTTTTACTCTTACTATATAATCACTAATCTCCCTTGCAACTCACAAATTCATTTAAAATGTCAGTCAAGCAATGTTTATAGAATGCTGATGATTTGCAGGATATATCGTAAAAGGGAAGTCTGGCCATTAATTGGAGAATGACAAATCAAGTTGTGGTATATGATTGTGATGAAATGCTATTGTGCTATTAGAAATGATGAGGATGATGGTTTCAGAAAATGCCTGGGAAGACGTATGTGAACTGATATAAAGTGAAATGAGCAGAACCAGGAAAACATTGTACACAGAAACAGTGATATTGTAATGATCAACTGTGAAAGACTTAGCTACTCTGATCAATACAATGATCCAAGATAATTCAAAAGGGCATGGGATGAAAAATGCTAACCACCTCCAGAGAGAGAACTGATGAATTTTGAGTGATGATTTAATCTCACTTTTTCACTTTATGTTTTTGGCTTTTTTATTTTTTGCAACATGATTAATGTGGAAATATGTTTTTTGTGGCTTCACATGTATACTTGATATCATATTGCTTGCCTTCTCAATGAGTGAGGGAGGGATGGGAAGGAAGGATAGAATTTGGAACTCAATTTTTTTAAATGAATGTTAACAATAAATAAATAAATAAAAATAAGCATTACAAAATACTAATGATTTATTTGAAAATGTATTTACATGCAACTTTTTAGTAACACTCATTTTTAAAAGAATAGTATATTTGTCTGAAAACAAGATAGCCCAATCATCACTTTCATTGGAATTACAATGTAATTGGTTAGATTCATCCAGCAGTTTTTAAACTTTTTTGTTTTTTGGTGTTGTGAACCCCGTTGGCAGTCTGGTTGAGCCTGTGGACCCCCTTTTCAGAACAATTTTTCCAAATTAATAAAATAAAGTAGGTAGGATTACACAGGAAACCAATTATATTCAAATGTAATTGTCATAATTTTAAAAAAAATGTATAGACCCCAAATTAAGAACTCTTGCATTTATTATGTTTGGTAGTCATATAAACAAACAGGCAACTATTTTATAGTCACTAGTTAAGTGCTGATTATAATCAGTGCCTAGCTTATATTAGATGTTTAATAAATGTCGAATTAATTTTTTTAAATCTCAAGGTGATATGACAGGTTTACAAAAAATATCACCTTCTCCTTTATACTGTTAGCTCCTTAATGTTTTTACCTTTTAACTCATCCTTTCTGTGACAGCTGGGCTTAGTTTAATATACCTTCTCTG